CGCATTCTGGTGGTTCCCGGAGTGTTTTCCGCTTGTTACGGCAAGTCAGCAAATTTGAGTTTCGAGCAATCTGGCTGCACACTTCACGTCGTCCCAGGCAAATTTCACATTCTTTTAGGCAAAAATTTTCAAACTCCATTCCTTCTCTTTCTTCTTCTCCTTTTTTCTCTTTTCCCCTTTTTTTCTCTGTTTCTTTTCACACTTTTCTTTCTTTCTTTTATTTCCTCCTCCTTCCTCCCTCTTATATTCCCTCCTTTCTTTCTTATCCCTGAACACCGCGATCGTCATACCGACGAGGTCCAGTCGTGGTGTCGAGCTAAGACGCATATGACTCGAAGGACCGAAACGTCTTAACTCGACTGTCTTTCCCACAATTTTTCCACTATTTTTCTCCCCTCTGTATACACTTCCCTTATTTTGGCACCCCTCAACATGGATGCTACAAACGGCCTGCCTTTTTTCCCTGCCAGGCTCTTTGCTCTTCGGTATCGCCTCTACGTCACCCTCCTCAAATTATGCGCCCTCTTTCGGCTAAATGCAATTCGATTTCTGGCAACAGTCTTCAAAGACAACTCCCCCACCCATCCGAACACTGTTCCAGCATCAAAGACAGAGTCGTCTGCTGCCCCTCCTTCGTGCAACTCACTTCCTGCGCACTCAGCAACACACACCCCACTATCCTCCAGAGCTACATCATACACACACACACAGTGACAATGGGCTTGTCCTGGTAGAGTTTTCAATCGGTCCAGGAGACGAGACGAACGTCAGCACACTGATACTGCCGGAAATGATGAAAAAACTTGCAGCAGCACAGCTTGAGAAAGCAGCTGGGCCGGGCTCATGCCAGCACACAAAACAGCACGCAGCACTCCCCAGCTGTAACGCACCGGCCCCATCTAACACACCTCACCACCTGCAGATCCAGCACTCGACCACCCACCCATAAACGCCCACCGACACCCGCTCCCGAGCAATCACCGAACAAAAAAACACTGAAAATCCACCAGGCTCCGCTCGGCTGGAACGGACAATTGGCTCTTACCACCGATCGCCATCATACACGATTTGCGAAAAATTTTTGCTGGCGATCGCGGGTACGGCTACTCCCAGACTGGTGGCAAGAGCTCGCTCGGTTGTGGCAGTGCGAGAAGAGGAGGGGAGCCGGGTAGGGGTGCTTTGATGCCGGACTTGTTCGGGATAGGGAAGAGAACTGGGATAGATGAATTTGATGGCTAGATGGTATAGATCGTTTGTCGATTGGCTAGTTCACATACATTTGGGCGGGAGGGGGAGAGGGTGATGAACGGAACGGAGCAGTAACTGTGGTGCTGGTTTTTGCCACGGATATCCGGGGTAGGGAAAGAGATCGTCCTATAATGGGGATAAAGAGGAGCGCAGGTAAGATTTGGAGACAAAGTTGGGGACAGAGGACACAGCTCTGGAGCTGGAGGCAAGAACTGGAGACAGCAGTAGAGGGGGAGGAAGAACAAAGCACCACAAAGGAAAGTTAATCAAAGCAAACATGGGCTTACGAATAAAAGCGAAGAAAAAGCAAAATCGGAACCCATAGGTAAAAGCAAAATAATTGGACAACGCACGGGCTGCCCGTGCGAAGATGCGTTTTTAACCGTTTTTGCTGTGCAGCCCATAGCGCTGCTACAGCCAGCAAAAACGCGTATGTTCGAGAGGCTGTCTGTGTGTGTGTGTGTGTTCGGGAAAGCGAGTGCATTTTGTCACCCACTTTCATCTCAGCAACCAGGAAAGCTGGGAGGCTGAAAC